ATACGCAGAGCGTCACACCATGTGAAAGTGAAACCTGAGCGGTGAACTCATTTTCGGCAGCCGGAATTTCGGTGCATCTCTAATTATTGGCGACATCAGAAATGGATATTATATAATAGATGCTTTTTTGAAAATTTTAGCAATTTAAAAATATAAAAAAATAATTTTTACACGGCACCCCTGCTCTCGACAGACGGGTGCCGCGGCACACCGGTTGGGAAACACTGTGTTAGAGAAATTTAAACAGGAGAGATGTAGACACAACCACAGGCGGAAATCCCGGGGGGGGGGGGGGCAGGACCCCCCACCCCATCTGAGGGTTGTCCCCCCTAAAAATATGATTAAAAACCAGGCTGTGCATTGTAAATAACAAAGTTTTATACTTTAATCAATTGTAAGTAGTAAAACAACACAAACGGGGCAAAAATGCGTTTTAAGTTTAGAAACATTCTCCCCCTCCCTTGCCTCACTTTGGTCCAAATGCCTGCTTTCGTCTTTTACATCACCTACACACACACACACACACACACACACACACACAAGTCCGGTGAGAGAGAACAAAGCCAATAGTTGAGGAAGTCCAGTAAGTAAGGCTGTCAAGGCTAATTTCTTCACTTAAACATCGAATGAAGTGATTAGTTTCTCTTTAATACAGATTGTGTCAATGTATATTTCGATAAATCCGCTATGTTAGCAATAATAACTTTAATAATAACCTGCTTGAGGGGAATAGTTGCCAGGTTTTCATAACAAAACCCGCCCAATTGCTACTCAAAACTAACCGCGTTTCGAGGGGTCCCCCGGTAAAAAATCTCTGGGGGCTAAAATACACGTTATTCAACCCGCGGACATGAAAACAACCCGCAGCAACAGTGATAAAGTAGCCCAGTTCCAGGGGAAAACCGCGGACACTGTGACGGATACAACGGACACACACGAGCGCTGTCACGGCGCGAGCACAACAGCGAGGAGTTGTCTGATTTACGGTCTCCCTGCTGCACTAATAGTAGTAAGCCATTCCTCTGTGTATACAGCATCGGCGCGGGAAGTTGGGGGTGCTGCAGCATATTTCCCCCCGTTTTTTTCTGTCGGCAACTGTTTAACTGTTGGGAATAAAAAAAATCTTTAGCAAAGGCTATTATACTAATTCCAGCCACCAACGTGTGATTGGGCTAGTCAACAATACAAAGACGGCCGGCACGCGTCAGCTCCAGTGGCGCATAGAAAAACGCGTGTCAGCCACCTTTTGACGCGATCGACTCGGGTTCGAATCTGCCTTTTGTCGAACTTTTTTTTCTATACACGTTATTCAACCCGCGGACATGAAAACAACCCGCAGCAACAGTGATAAAGTAGCCCAGTTCCAGGGGAAAACCGCGGACACTGTGACGGATACAACGGACACACACGAGCGCTGTCACGGCGCGAGCACAACAGCGAGGAGTTGTCTGATTTACGGTCTCCCTGCTGCACTAATAGTAGTAAGCCATTCCTCTGTGTATACAGCATCGGCGCGGGAAGTTGGGGGTGCTGCAGCATATTTCCCCCCGTTTTTTTCTGTCGGCAACTGTTTAACTGTTGGGAATAAAAAAAAATCTTTAGGAAAGGCTATTATACTAATTCCAGCCACCAACGTGTGATTGGGCTAGTCAACAATACAAAGACGGCCGGCACGCGTCAGCTCCAGTGGCGCATAGAAAAACGCGTGTCATCCACCTTTTGACGCGATCGACTCGGGTTCGAATCTGCCTTTTGTCGAACTTTTTTTTCTCCCTTTTCAAATTTCAAATCACATCAGAAAAGCATGTATTTTTTTAAATAAAAATGAAGAAAATAATCAAAAAGTTGAAAAAGTATCGGGTAGGGTTAGGTGAAGGGAGGGCTTTGTCCCAATAAGGTGGCATCCATTCAATAATTTGAATTACAATTCAAATTTACACTCAATAAGTTATTATTGCATACTGTTACAGCATCGGCGCGGGAAGTTGGGGGTGCTGCAGCATATTTCCCCCCGTTTTTTTCTGTCGGCAACTGTTTAACTGTTGGGAATAAAAAAAAATCTTTAGGAAAGGCTATTATACTAATTCCAGCCACCAACGTGTGATTGGGCTAGTCAACAATACAAAGACGGCCGGCACGCGGCAGCTCCAGTGGCGCATAGAAAAACGCGTGTCATCCACCTTTTGACGCGATCGACTCGGGTTCGAATCTGCCTTTTGTCGAACTTTTTTTTCTCCCTTTTCAAATTTCAAATCACATCAGAAAAGCATGTATTTTTTTAAATAAAAATGAAGAAAATAATCAAAAAGTTGAAAAAGTATCGGGTAGGGTTAGGTGAAGGGAGGGCTTTTGTCCCAATAAGGTGGCATCCATTCAATAATTTGAATTACAATTCAAATTTACACTCAATAAGTTATTGCATCCTGTTTTATAATGTATTACAATGCTGAGGTGCAGATAATTGCCACTATTGGCAAGTTGGGGGTGCTGCAGCATATTTCCCCCCGTTTTTTTCTGTCGGCAACTGTTTAACTGTTGGGAATAAAAAAAATCTTTAGCAAAGGCTATTATACTAATTCCAGCCACCAACGTGTGATTGGGCTAGTCAACAATACAAAGACGGCCGGCACGCGTCAGCTCCAGTGGCGCATAGAAAAACGCGTGTCATCCACCTTTTGACGCGATCGACTCGGGTTCGAATCTGCCTTTTGTCGAACTTTTTTTTCTCCCTTTTCAAATTTCAAATCACATCAGAAAAGCATGTATTTTTTTAAATAAAAATGAAGAAAATAATCAAAAAGTTGAAAAAGTATCGGGTAGGGTTAGGTGAAGGGAGGGCTTTTGTCCCAATAAGGTGGCATCCATTCAATAATTTGAATTACAATTCAAATTTACACTCAATAAGTTATTATTGCATACTGTTTTATAATGTATTACAATGCTGAGGTGCAGATAATTGCCACTATTGGCAATAAGTAATTATCAGAATATCCTGCTATTTTGATATAGTATAAATAGCTATTTGCACTTAGTGTAAATAGCATCTATCGCTAAGAAAATATGCTGCCACCTGCCTTGTGTCCACTTCAAATATTGCTCTTGAGAAATTTTATGTTTATTGTCCCCCCCTACTGTTAGACGAAATTTACGCCCCTGAACACAACTATTTTAATTTGTAGCACAAGTTTTCGGTCTGCCTCTCTGTTTTTATGGCCAATACACCCTATTAAGACAAAAACAAAATGTTTACGTGCAGATTACGCCAAACCTTGTAGTGACTCCAGCTGTTGGTAATTCTGAAACGGAATGCCTTAACACTAAAAAAAAACATTTGGAATTAACGAGTCACTAATACATAAGCCTCGAAATTAACCAAACTGTTGTATCTTTAACCCACAGCATCCTCACAATCAAAATATCGGTCATAAGTCTGTTCAAGGTATACTCTCTCTCTCTTTCTCACTGGTCTGTTTAGAAGTACTGTTCATAGGAATCAAGTTGAATAGACCATAATTGTTTTCAACAATGTTTCTTAGAGAACTCAGATATTACGTGTCTTTGTTATATTGTGTTCTCCATTCATTCGTTTTTCATTTTCTTTATTTATGTATATTTCTTTTAGCATGGCAGTTATATGTCAGCAGCCTTTGCAAGCCACGTGAAACGTTAGTTCCAGTTGAGCATGAATTCCCTGAGGTGATGCACAGAGGCTTAGAGAACTCAGATATTACGTGTCTTTGTTATATTGTGTTCTCCATTCATTCGTTTTTCATTTTCTTTATTTATGTATATTTCTTTTAGCATGGAAGTTATATGTCAGCAGCCTTTGCAAGCCACGTGAAACGTTAGTTCCAGTTGAGCATGAATTCCCTGAGGTGATGCACAGAGCTGTTTTCCCCTCATGTGTGCCTCTGCAGCTGCTCTGATGAGGCTATGCTGTGTGGGAATGTGAGCACACACACCACTGTGATGCAGGTATGGCAATGTTATTGATTCAGTTCATCATCATATATATATGTTTTTCTTCTCTTTTTTTATTATCATTTATTTAATAATTTTATAATTTTTTCCCACTACAAAATTACAGTTTAAGCAGCTTGCCATGAATGTGCGTGGGCAGAATTTTGAAGAGATTATTGAGCTGCCATTTGTTGAACACAGCCAGTGTCAATGCAGGTAATGCACAGGTTCATGACTTAACATTAAAAGCAATGATTGCTTTATAATTTCATAGAACCTTGTTTAAAGCATATATCTATATCATTTACATTTAGATGTGGCAGAGTTGACTTCTGATGGTGTTTTAAGGATGATGATGATGATGATAATAATTATTATTATTCTCTTTCTTCTTAACCGGTTCAGAGACCAACTATGATGCTTATTGGAAACAGAAATTGTAATCGGTTTATTTAACCAGTTGTTTTATATTTTATCAAGTTATTTAAATGAATTTGTATTACTAAAATTACTAATATATTAAATATCATAATAACAACATTACTTTTATATTTAATATTATGTAAAACATTTAGCTTTAAGAAAAACATTTGTGGTTCACTTAAGTACAATTATTTTTCTCTTTTGGTTACTTTCAAAAACATTTTTTCATTCAGTTGTTTTTAATGCAAATTCATCATACAAGACGAAATAAGAACAGACATTGCTTCTAGTAAAAGTAAGCAATTGCATTAATTGATAAGATTAACCCTAACCGAAAAAGAAAAGAAGAAAGGACAAACGATGAAAGAATGTCAAACATGGTACATATTCTGGTGCCTATGTTTTGATTGCTTTAATAAAAGATTTTAATTAAATCATGTGTTTGACTAATTTAACATGATAGTTTTACTTTTACTTTGATGCAAAAAACAATGATGTCAGTATCTATACATCTGCGTGATATCTTCAACTCACCGCATCAGCTTAAATTCAAACAGTTTCACAGCGCCACCTTGTGTTGACAATAATAAGAGCTCTCCTTTAAAGAATACGTGGCAGTGATGTCAATTATCTGTGTTAAGACCCGGATATTATTCACAACCTGCACACAGTTCAATCAGCAGAGAGGCGGAGTGGTGAGAAATGAATCTTTGTATCTTTCAGCTCATATGTTGTCATCTCCCCTTCACAAATCACAAATCATCGCTGCTCGTTTATTCATGTATTCAGACGCGTGGGACGTTTTTCATTGTTTGACCGATGAAAGCATTATAATCATATATTCAGCTACACATTTAGCTTAGCAGCTAACAAGCGCTGGCTTTCATAAAAAGAGTATGAAACTATTGCAAAATAATGAGATACGCAGATTAACAGCGCATTCTTTTGTTTTTAAAACAGTGACATTGCGCAGATGACGGCAATAGAGAAGCAGAAGTTTCTAGACGTGTTCTATTCAAAACAGCTGTGTCAATTAAATTGATCAGTGACAGTAAAGACATTTATAATGTTACTAAAGATTGTTATTTCAAGTAAAAGCTGTTTTTTGATCTTTCAATTCATCAAAGAATCCTTCAAATTAAAATAAAAGTAAAGTAAAATTGGAAGGGAGTTTTGCTCTTAACACACTTTAACATTGATTTCTATTTCCTTATCATAAGGTGATGAGTTGGTGCATCCATGAACGCACGTCGGCGACACGGTCCTAGAAGCAGCCAGGACGGGGTGTACACTGGGCCGTCTCAGACCCAGTCCCAGCTGGTCCAGCAGCTGGAAACCCCCCTGGCTGTCCCAGCACCCATCGCCCCTGTCTTAGACACATTCAGCATGTCCTGTCGAGACCGTACCAGTGAGTTTCAGTCTGTGTGCAAGTCCCTGCAGGGGAGACAGGTGCGATAACTACTGATGCATATTGTCCAGTAACCTGCAAGTGGTTAATAGGTTCAATAATATAGTCTCCCTTAGTTGAGTTTGTGTACATACTGGTAGCATGAGTTGGAAAAACACCACAAAGTTTTTCTCTCGTTCTTTTCCAGAATGGAGCACAACCTGTCAGAGCTGTCAACAGTGCAGTCCGACAGCGGAGTGAATTCACGCTCTTGGCTAAGTGAGTTAAACTCTCAATCGCTAAAAGTTCAAGGGGGAAAGTATGTGAAAGTTGGATTTACCTGGATTCTGATCAAGTCGCATCAATACACATGCATAGTCTGCTTAAATTACTAACACAGATTATATGTGAGTATAATTTGTTTTAATTTAACACACTGTGTCAGTATTCCCAGTGAATGGTGGAAACAGTATGTAAACCCTTGAATTTAATAACAGGTTAACTCCTTTTGGGATAAGCCCAACGTTTATTGCGCATCAGACACCATTCCTCTTGACAAAACTGTTTAGGTTGTACAATATTCTTGGGATCTTTGGTGTGGCTGCTCTCTTAAGAGCATGTAGAAGTGTCTCAGTTGGGTTGAAGGCAGCTTTCCATCTTCAGCAATTCTTAATCTTAGGTGCTATGAGAGCTCTTTTGTTCCAGGTGTGGTTCACATTGTGACGTATAAGAGTGTCTATGAAAAAGAAAAGTAAAAATTTTTTCTTTACAACTGTGCTTTTTAAAGGGGTCATATGATGCGATTTCAATTTTTCCTTTCTCTTTGGAGTGTTACAAGCTCTTGGTACATAAAGAAGATCTGTAAAGTTGCAAACACTAAAGTCTCAAATCCAAAGAGATATTCTTTATAAAAGTTAAGACCTACCTAAAACGGCTCGTTCTAACATGCCCCCACATACCTACGTCACGATCTGGGAAGATTTGCATAACGCTGCATAATGCATTTGCATAATGTTCTCGCAAAGAAAGAAGGTGTAACTTTTATTCTCGCTGTAGTATTGTTGACGCTGTAGCCATGTCCTGAAGACGCTGTGTGCTTCGTTGTGAAAGCGAAACTACTTTGTTTGGTCTTTGAAAAGAGGACGATATCTGCTTCGTCATGCCTAGAGCTGATCTGTGCTGGTCGCTGAGGGAATACATCAACATCAAGTACTTACGTAGTAAGTTTCATGCATGAAAAAGACAAAGGGCTAATTGATGGTTATAATATCCCATTATCGCATGCAATTATTTGTTATCACTATAAATCTTATTTATGCTTTCACATAAACTGCAATGATTTGAAACAGCAGTTCTGACTCACGTAAGTACGTTTTCATTTAAAGGATTTGCCACTGATGATTCAAATGCGAGTTTTGGGCAGTAGAGTAGCACTTGTTGTTTGTCATTTCTCCGATCACAAATGCAGACAGAGTTTTATGTTTACGCGGCGCAATGCAACGCAACACAACGCGTAAAAAGACAGTATAAGTCATTATAATCAGTAATTATGTCCCCACTGGATGCAACAAATGCCAACAAGCTGTGTCACTGATCAAAGTTTATTTAAAGAGTTTAATTAATTAAAGAATTTATTTAAAAATTAAAAAAAATTATCATTTTATTTAGCAAGGAAAGTGACAGTAAATACATTTAAATGTCACTCTTGAACTTTTGATTCATAAAAAAAATCATGGGGGAAAAAAAAGTATCACTGTTTCCACACAAAAATATTAAGCAACACAACAGTTTTCAACATAATAAGAAATGTTTCTTGAGCAGCATTTTCATCACATAAATAAATAAATATAGATAGATATTTTAAATTGTAATAATATTTCACAATAATACTATTTTTACTGTATTTTTTATCAAATAAATGCAGCTTGGTGAGCCTAAGAGACTTCTTTCAAAAGCATTAAAAACTTTTGAATGTTAGTGCTTTGGGCTTTTGTTTTTCAGGCATTAATGTGCATTATGATATTGTAGCGAATCAGCTCAAAGGGGGAATATGCATAATTAATCATAACTAGTTATAATTAATTATAAATATTTAGATCCGCTGTAAGTATTTACTTGACCTCTCAGGGTCAACTGTCTGTCAATTCTAAGAACGTTAATTCCTGGTTAAGGGAAATAACTTTCTTACTGTACAATACTACACAGAGCATGTAGCATAAATCTGCATGATTAGGGACTGCGATAACGCTGCATAATGCATTTGCATAATGTTCTCGCAAAGAAAGAAGGTGTAACTTTTATTCTCGCTGTAGTATTGTTGACGCTGTAGCCATGTCCTGAAGACGCTGTGTGCTTCGTTGTGAAAGCGAAACTACTTTGTTTGGTCTTTGAAAAGAGGACGATATCTGCTTCGTCATGCCTAGAGCTGATCTGTGCTGGTCGCTGAGGAAATACTTCAACTTTCACCGTGGACAAAGCGGAGTCCAGCCCGCCTCAGCTCACTCTATCCTGGCCTCAGCGCAGGCTAAGCCGGGGCTTCCCCTCACGCTAGGCCGCTGTGTTTTTCGTTGCCACTGATGATTCAAACGCGAGTTTTGGGCAGTAGAGTAGCACTTGTTGTTTGTCATTTCTCCGATCACAAATGCAGACAGAGTTTTATGTTTACGCGGCGCAATGCAACGCAACACAACGCGTAAAAAGACAGTATAAGTCATTATAATCAGTAATTATGTCCCCACTGGATGCAACAAATGCCAACAAGCTGTGTCACTGATCAAAGTTTATTTAAAGAGTTTAATTAATTAAAGAATTTATTTAAAAATTAAAAAAAATTTCATTTTATTTAGCAAGGAAAGTGACAGTAAATACATTTAAATGTCACTCTTGAACTTTTGATTCATAAAAAAAATCATGGGGGAAAAAAAAGTATCACTGTTTCCACACAAAAATATTAAGCAACACAACAGTTTTCAACATAATAAGAAATGTTTCTTGAGCAGCATTTTCATCACATAAATAAATAAATATAGATAGATATTTTAAATTGTAATAATATTTCACAATAATACTATTTTTACTGTATTTTTTATCAAATAAATGCAGCTTGGTGAGCCTAAGAGACTTCTTTCAAAAGCATTAAAAACTTTTGAATGTTAGTGCTTTGGGCTTTTGTTTTTCAGGCATTAATGTGCATTATGATATTGTAGCGAATCAGCTCAAAGGGGGAATATGCATAATTAATCATAACTAGTTATAATTAATTATAAATATTTAGATCTGCTGTAAGTATTTACTTGACCTCTCAGGGTCAACTGTCTGTCAATTCTAAGAACGTTAATTCCTGGTTAAGGGAAATAACTTTCTTACTGTACAATACTACACAGAGCATGTAGCATAAATCTGCATGATTAGGGACTGCGATTATGAGCAAACAATGACCAACCTCAGGTGTGATACAAGTAAGACTTTATTAACTACATAAACACTTAAACTAGTCTAACATACACACACACACATGCATACAGTTGGTATAGGAACAGGATTAAAGCTTAGGCAGTGAAGAGAAATAAAACATGAAGCTATGGGATCATTTGATATTCAGCAGATTTACACCTGAAGGAAACATCAGCTTCTTAGTTCAAACATACCTTTGTAAAAAGGTGCAAATGATACCTAATGTATCAATTAATAAGACTAAGTTTGATATGAATTTCGGGGGAAGGGTCCATAGACCCTCGTAATTAACCCTTTGTTTAGGTGAGGGGGTGTTAGATATTATTTGTTAAATATAACAAATAGTTCTCTGATTGGTCCAAATGCTACAATATCATCAGATTGACGTTTTTGACATTGTTAAAAAAAAGTCATATTTTGAATGTATTTGTCAGTAAATGAATAGATTTGACCAAAAATAAATAAAGACCATCATGTGATTGACCTAAACGTCAGACTCACAATTTGCGAATCAACATTTAGCTGACTCCTGACTGCTGTTAGCTTTTGAAGCTTCACATACTTCAGTCTATTGTTTGTTTATTGTTGAAGATCGGATCAAATTTCATGACCAATTTCCTGGAAAATCCAGAGGGTTTACAGACTTTTTCCTGCAACTGTCTTTAGTATTGACACGAGACACTGCATTTGACCTATAATTTATTCAGACCTACTTAAGCTTTAATGGTCTGTGTTATTTCATCGACTTGATCTCATGACGGATATTGACCGCATCTTATTAACAGGCGAATTGGAAGAGACCTCAGCAACACTTTTGCCAAGTTGGAGAAGCTCACAATCCGTAAGTATCTCATCTCCCTCGCCATCTCACACATGTACCACTGTGGACAGTTTTGACGTGTAACTCAATCTGTTTTCACCTACAGTTGCCAAAAGAAAGTCCCTTTTTGATGACAAAGCAACTGAAATCGATGAACTCACTTACATTGTGAAACAGGTTAGGGTGATTGTTACTTCCCCTTTGCCAAGGACACATTATTCTGTCTGCTCATCTCATACTGTAATCTGTTTCATAACTGTCTGTTCACTCAGGACATTAACAGTCTAAATAAGCAGATAGCTGGCCTGCAGGAAGTCGTTCGATCACGGAGTGGACAGAATGGCAGACATCTTCAGACACATTCCAACACCATCGTAGTCTCATTACAGGTATTAACCTCTGGCCGTAGTGCTCAATCACAAAGTAATGATGTCTAGCGGACTTCTGCTTGAAATTACACCCTGTTTTCTGTTTGTAGTCCAAACTGGCTTCGATGTCAAGTGACTTCAAGTCAGTCCTGGAAGTCAGAACAGAGGTAATTGATCTACTTTTTTAGTGTTAGATCCATTCTGGTACAATTCTGTTTATGTATATTTTCTCGTGTTTTCTCTCGGTTTAGAACTTAAAACAGCAGAGAAGCAGGCAAGAGCAATTTTCTCAGACTCCTGCCTCATCCTCCTCTTTCCACACCAACAGCTTCAGTAAGAGCATCTCTACTTGTGAAAAAGCACACATTGTCCACCTTTAAACATTTACGTAGATCTTTTTCCCTTTTGCTTGTCTTTCAACAGACAATTCAGTGCTTATGCAGGACGACTCCAAGAAGACGGATATATCTATAGATATGGACCTCAGCTCTAGTCAGCAGATGCAGTTAATCAATGAACGGGTATTGTTTGTTCACTGGCTGTTTTGTAATGGCACAGCTGCAGGGAAACTTATTCAAGTATGTTTGAATCTCTGTTGTCATGTGTTTGTTTAGGATTCATACATTCAGAACCGTGCAGACACTATGCAGAATATAGAGTCCACCATTGTGGAGCTCGGCTCCATATTTCAGCAGCTGGCTCATATGGTGAAAGAACAGGAAGAGACCGTACAGAGGTGAGGAACAAACTTCATGTCTGGAGGATCTTATTTGAGAGAAACTGTAAGTGAAACTGAAAAATAAATTAAGGGCTAAATAGAAATAATAAAAATAAAAAAACTAATGACGAAGCACATAATGGAATTACTGAAACAAATAATAAAATCAAAATGAAATCTGAAAATATAAAAATAAAAGCTAATTTAAAATATTCATGAATAATAAATACTAGAGAATAAATAATACTAAAATAACTCTGATCTATAACCAGAAATGCAGGTCAAATTCAAACACCAGTCTTTATATGTTTGAATCTCTGTTGTCATGTGTTTGTTTAGGATTCATACATTCAGAACCGTGCAGACACTATGCAGAATATAGAGTCCACCATTGTGGAGCTCGGCTCCATATTTCAGCAGCTGGCTCATATGGTGAAAGAACAGGAAGAGACCGTACAGAGGTGAGGAACAAACTTCATGTCTGGAGGATCTTATTTGAGAGAAACTGTAAGTGAAACTGAAAAATAAATTAAGGGCTAAATAGAAATAATAAAAATAAAAAAACTAATGACGAAGCACATAATGGAATTACTGAAACAAATTAAAATCAAAATGAAATCTGAAAATATAAAAATAAAAGCTAATTTAAAATATTCATGAATAATAAATACTAGAGAATAAATAATACTAAAATAACTCTGATCTATAACCAGAAATGCAGGTCAAATTCAAACACCAGTCTTTATTTATTTTTGTTCCAATTTCTGTGTCTAATCAATAAGCAAATGTGTTTTTCCCCATTTGCTTCCATTTGTGGTTTGGTCATCACTGTCTATGACCATAATGAAAAGCTCTTTTACTGCCACAGTAACAGTTAGCCAGCAGTTCCTTTAGTCGTAAATGGTACCAGTTTCATAAAAAAAAAAAATCTTTCAATTGATTTGGTAGAATAATTGTTCGAGTTGCTTTGAATAGGCCAGCATCTTGACTCCAGTTAAACATTTCACACATACACTACCATTCAAACGTTTGGGGTCAGCGAGACTTTAAATTATTTAATACTTTTATTTTACAGCAATGCAATAGTTTTCTCAAAAGATTTCTGTTTCAAATAAATGCTTTTCTTTTTAACTTTATCAAAGAATACTGAAAAAAGTATCACGGTTTCCACAATAACAGCAAAAGTGTTTTCAAGATTGATAATAATAAGAAATGTTTCTTGAGCATCAAATCAGCATATTATAATGATTTCTGAAAGATCATGTGATGCTAAGCATTGGAGTAATTCAGAGCATAAGATTGAGAAAAATACATCTAACGGACCCCAAACTTTTAAAGGGTAGTGTTATTTACACTATGAATGACCAAACAATAATTCCTTCCATTGAACTTCTCTCTTCCCTGACAGAATTGATGCTAATGTAGAGGACACTCAGCTGAACGTGGAGCTAGCGCACTCCGAGATACTCAAATATTTCCAGTCTGTGTCCAACAACCGCTGGCTGCTCATCAAGATGTTCCTAATCCTCATCATTTTTTTCATTGTCTTTGTGGTTTTCATGACCTGACTTCCACTCTTAAAAGGGACCGATTTAAAAGGAATGAAAGGGGCTGTTCTCTCAGTCTTCTTTTTTCTCTTCTCTGCTCACTGGCCGCTGAGCTCTGTTTTAGTGATCGTTTTCCTCAAAATAGATGGCATTTCATATTTATAAGCCTCAATTCAGTGTAGGCAGAGCATTTGTCAGTTTGTAGTCTATTTACAACAGTTTGTCCATTTACATTTCAATCTGATATGTTTCTGTATCTGTAGAGCAAACTCTTGGAAATGATTGTCCATAATTAGCTTTTCTAAATCACACAGATTGCAGAGATATCCTTGAGTAAAGCCAGCAATCGTCTCATGGATAAAGAACCACCATTTTAACAAATTCTGGGTGACTTTTGATTGGTATTAATCATGATACACGCCTTTAGTCATCATGTGTTCTGAGACCTTTTTAACAGAATCCCTCTTATATTCTGCCTGCTGCAGTAGACCACCAAGCCATCTCAAATGACAGTAATGCTTCTACACGTTTATGGTGACTGACTAGAGGTTTTTAATGTGTATTCTTTCTAGTTTGGATTTTGGGATCGATTACCACTTTTGCACAACTTGTGAATACAGCTAGTTCAGCAGGTGAGAAATCCGTATTTGGATCTAGTGACATTTTCCAACCTTTGGCCATGAATCATGAGTTATACAACTCAGACAGGATTTATTTTTAATTTCATTGGGTGTTTTAATCATCCTTCATAAGCTTGTTTGTACACTGCGGTTCAGCCAGGGGGTCCATGAGAATACTGCTTTCCAGATCTCAACGTAAATGGTGTTTTTTAGAGAATACACTCATTTGTGTTTAACTGGACTTTGAGATTGGGGGAAAGTCCCACCCCACCATTTGTGAAATGCATACTGTAAAATGAAAGAACTGAAAAAAAAAATGGAAATAGAAAATGTATGTTTTGTTGTAATGTCTGTTGCTGTTTTTCTTTTTTACAGTAGCATATGTAGTTACTGATTCATTAAAGTTCATGAGATAATTAATGAAGTTAATTTTGAAATAAATGAAAAGTGACATTTTAAAACTCTTTAATTCTTGCATTTGATAAATATGCCACATTTGAAGGCAGGGAAGTGTAGAAAAGGTTCATGATGATGAATCAGCAAGATCTTTATTAGCATCTAAGGTTCCATGAAGAACCTTTAATATCAATAGAACCTTTCCACACTCTCAATAAAAAGCAACAAAACTGTTACTGGGGCAGTACTCTTTCAAAAGGTACTAATATGTACCGTGTAGCGTAGGATACCAGCTTTGTACTTGTTTGTACCTGGAGTTTCCTACTCCAAATATAGCTTGTTCAGGTCAGCGCTCTTTCTTCCACTACACTGATATCAGGCATGCTACTGATCCTGTTTCTGTGGATATTGTCTTCATCCTCATCGTCCTCCTCGGCTTGGTCCTCAGCATCACGCCTGACTGTGACTCTACTCCACAGCGGGCTGATGCGGATCCGTGAGCGCAGGTTGATGACAGACATGCTCTTACCGCGATTGGGTCGAGCCTTCAGTGCTCTCTCCCTGGCTTCCCCCTTCTCCGCCTCGTCCAGGAAGTTACACAGAATGGAACGGAACAGGCGAGACACCTCAGTCACCTCTGGCTCTACCTCTGTCACCACTTTCCTCAGCCTAAACAAAAGTAGATTATTGCTCAAAGATATAGTTCCTTTTGGCTCAAGTTGTGTTTTAATCATGCATTCGTCCAACATTATTGTCCATACAAGTTACTGTTGTTGTTAAAATGTTTTGGTGTAACTTTACAATAGTTTGCCTTAACTAGCTGATGGCAAACATTTGAGTGGTTAAAAACATACATAGATCTTTTCATGCAAAGGATTTGACAAAAATGTTGACCTGGTTTTAAATAGTACAATTTAAAACAATAGATATATTGTTCATAATTAAGGAGGGAGTAAATCCAGCGTTCAAATGTTGTGTGCCCTCTCCATTTGCTGTGTAATTATAGCCACTCGACTAGTGACTGGTCTTTGTGTGAATGTCCACAAAACTGGAAGACGTTCTGAATAAGCGGAAGGCTATTTTAGAAAGGAAAATTTAAAAGATGAAAAAGAAGAATTAGGGAGAATCAATAAATTATGAATATTATTGCTGTTAAAAAAAATAAAAAAGTAACTGTAGTCCGATTCAGAGTATTTTAAAATTTAATTTAATCTAATTACAAGTACTTAATTTTTGCAATATGATTACGTAATCAGTTACTACCCTGCTCTGCGTGTCGCTAAGGATGGGAGGAAATATGTTAGTCTGCTTAAACACTTTTAATGTAAGTTAAACAGTAGCCACGAAACGTTTGTTCTAAGCCCATATCAGTGCTGGATAGATTAGTTGCAATTTGTATTCTGTTGATGATTCCAAATTACATAACAAAACTTGTAGATAGTAATGTTACACATTTGAGGTAATATAATTAGACTACTTTTTGATTCCATCAAGGATGGAGACGAGTCTGCTTACAGACAGGAGGTTAAAGAGCTGGCTATCTGGTGCAGTCTCAACAACCTGGAGCTTAACACGCTCAAAACTGTGGAGATGATCGTAGACTTCAGGAGAAAACCCCCTGCACTCCCCCCACTCACCATCATGGACAGCACTGTGACTGCAGTGGAGTCATTCAGGTTCCTGGGCACCACAATCTCTCAGGACCTGAAGTGGGACACTCACATAGACTCCATTGCAAAAAAGGCCCAGCAGAGGTTGTACTTCCTTCGCCAGCTGAGGAAGTTCAACCTGCCGCAGGAGCTGCTGAAACAGTTCTACTCTGCTATCATTGAGTCTGTCCTGTGTTCATCCATACCTGTCTGGTTTGGTTCAGCTACCAAATCATACATCAAGAGACTACAACAGACAGTCAGGACTGCTGAGAGGATTATTGGTGTCCCTCTGCCTAGCCTCCAAGATCTTTACATCTCCAGAGTGAGGAAAAGGGCTAAAAAAAATCACCGTGGACCCCTCACACCCAGCCCACTCTCTCTTCGAACTGTTGCCTTCTGGTCGGCGCTACAGAGCACTGACTACCAGCACAGTCAGGCACAAGAACAGTTTTTTTCCCACAGGCTA